TCAGCCAGGTTTTGGTGACTGCAATAATGTTCCGTCGACCAGTTTGGCAACACAGTTCTGCCTCTGAAAATTTTATGAGGCAACCTCGGGAGTCAGCGTAGAAACAATGCACACAATACACTCCGAACGTCGTTCGGATTTGACACCCTGTAGAAATAATGCAGTTGGTAGCGGAGCGGAAACTCGTCAAGGTGCAGAGGGTTAGTTGAGTCGACCGTATCATGGTCGGCTAAGGGAAGATTTTTGGTAGAAGAGTTTGTCGGGTCTGGTCTCCCAGTTGCTGGAAGGGACATGAAGTCTGTGGGAACCCAGTCTGTATGGGGGCGATATTTTCTGCCTGAGAAACACTTTTTGGTCCTGGATTGTGCATCGGTCTTAATCGTAGTTCTGATGGTCCCTTGATCTTGTTGTCGTACCACGACTGTAAGACAGTCTTAGCCACTTCTGATGTGCCTAGAATTATTTTCAGAATAATCGGACCGTCTAGGCGGTAGTTAGGAGAATAGGGGAGACGGCTAACTACTGTAGTCGAGACTTTACGATATCCAATGAGATATTGAATGAACTACCACTCTTTACAGTCATTTTGCTGGCATTTTGATGTGTCTGGATCATTCAATTGTGGGATTCCGTGTATAAGAATCACCCGGGCGTTGTCTGTTTCCCTACACTGGCCGGGTTATTCCGTTGGTGCGCTCACTTACTCCGTGGTCTGTCTGGTAGAATTCGTGTTTTACTTGAACTTCCTCGAAGGAGAAAGCTGGACAGAAGAACGTTTTCTACGTCCGATTCGCTCCCCAATGTCACCCGAAGTAACCTGGGTTCTCCGGCGTGAGGTGAATTCGGCTGTCGCAGAACGCGCTTGAGACCCACAGATTGGGCGATGGTTCCCATTTGTGTACACAGAGCATTCCAGCACCTCAGCTCTTCATCTTACCTCTCTCTCTCAGTGACGATGCCGTGAGCTCGGAAACGTTTGTGCAAATCACAGTCAAAAACTGTTAGTCATGTCTTTCTTTTTTGCGGGCAGAGTTGTTTTCTTTGAGTAAGCAGATAAGGGAGGCCACTAGGTGTGTGTGGGCTCCGAGGTAGCAGGTGCTTCTACCGTTGCTTTTGTCGTCACGCTCGGTTCTGCCATTTGCGTCCACTGCCGTGGGGTGACCACTAGCGCTGAGCATTTTGGTCGTTTGCCAGGTTTACGGATCGGGCTGACTGGTGTGATCTGTGAACCTCAGTCTGCTATTTTCTCGTCAAGTGTGGCGATTTTTGAATTTGCTCTTTCTTCGGTGGCTGACAATAATTTCTCATACTTGTGTGTGATACAAGTAATGCATTTTACAATCGGGATTTCCGCACATTCTGTACAGAATTATATACGTTCTGGTTGGGTGGTTAACTGTTTTTCCTGTTTCACTAAATGTGTGGCGCATGGAATGTGAGTGTTTCGGGCAGTGCGTGCATAACATCTCTGTTTCAACATCTTTTCTACAACTCCCTAGGCCGCATACATCCAATGCCGTCGAGAGACCTGGTGCGGCATTTGTTGACAGTGTGCGACGTCCTATTTTTGCACCTAATCGAATGGAGAGATTAAAGAATTATGAAAAAGTCATTTGAAACAGCTCTTTTCTCGGTCGCTTACTCATCCGGGTGAGTGGATGTCACAAGTGCAGAGTACAAAGACAAAGGTCACGTTGGGATTATCGATCGGCTTTGCTGGCCGCAGGGAAACGAACACAAGTGCGGCTGCGGTGGTAGCAAAGATTGCACTGAACAGCACAAATATATCCGTAGAATGTTTCCAATTGAAATCAAAACTCTCAATCAAGACTCCTTGGAAAGATTGGTAAATTTCCATTCGAGCGATATCACAATATTGACAGAGCGAATAAAATTGCACAAATTTGCACGCGTGAGTAAATCCCAAAGCTTTGATGAAGACAGAAAAACGGCTCGATAGAATGATATGAGCGATTTACTTCCAAGCGAATGATATCACAAGATAGAGCTTACATAACTGGATCGAATAAACGTAGACTGGATGATTTATGACGAGATTTCGTGGAGATTCCGATTAAACCGGTAGCGCACAATTTGATCAACCGCACGATCGTGTACGTAAAGTTCCAGTCATATATCCTATTTCAGTCTTCCTGCACTTCCTTATTATCAGGCCTACCGTCTAGTTTGACATTTTAGTTCCGTGCTTTCATCCTGATCCTTCTGTTTAACTCATCTCCGTGGCTTATGCTGACCAGTCAGCAGTGTCCACCTTTTCACCCCATCTCCAATCGGTAAGCGCGTAGCGTCCAAACGCGGTTTTATTCGAATGTTCAAGGTCAGTTGATCAATGCCCATTATCCAACGAAATCCCAACTGGAGACATCTGTCGCCCTAAAATTATTTCGCTCATTGAAGACTTTCACAATAAAGCAATATTCGCTGAGGCTGCCGACAACCAAAAAAATAAAGGAAAATTTATATAGCAAAAAAATAAAATAATGTTCATTAATATATATGAATTCATTCTTGGTAATGGAATGGACCCAAACTCTATCAATAAGAACTGCCCCTTACATATAACTGTCCCAAACTATTCTAAATACTATTCTGAAACTTTCAGCCGAAGATCATCTACGAATACGAAATAAAACCTTAAGGAAAAATTAGTGGGGATTCGTATATTCGCCGTGGAAGCCTAACTGAACCCGCGGAATGACTCTCGGTCCAAGTTAACCCCTTGAAACCTGACTGCCAAAGATAGATCTGCTGTAGCATCTTTTCGCAACTTATGCTCCATTCTACGAAGCGTGCTGCTGTTCCGTCGCTGTGGCTCTCATCATGCTCACTCTAGCGTTTCTCCCAACTGTTAAAAAGACAAACATTATCTTTAGGATCTTTTATGAATGTATTTCAGAAATAACAACCACCATCCACTTGAGCATAAACAATTGGTCATTCAACTCTGCTTCCTCATGTTCCCCTTCCATAGTTATTCCTGTGTTTTCATTCTTGGCATCATCCATCATTTTAGTACTCCATTACCTCACCTTCTTCATGAACTGTTATACTTCTATCATTAATCGATCATAACCGTTGACACGATAACAGATGCATTCGATCTTGAATCTTACCTGATCATTATTTTTGTCCATCGTTTTTTATTTCCTAATCTTTTCCTCTTCTTGTACACCAATAACTGAAAAAGGTGCAATGAGACCTATTCCGCCCACTTCTTCGTGCTTGCCAACTTACGCAATATCCATGATTACCCGTTGTCCCTTTTGTGGCCCAATTTGCTTTTGCCCTGTACCACGTTCAACTCTTTCACTCCATCTCTCTGCATATTTTCCCTCCATTATCGTATTATTCCTCTCTGATTGTCATTGTTTACTGTACAATATGATCATGCACTACATCGTGCTTCACGCATATCGTGAAATACACCATTATTATCATCATCATCATCTGCGAATATGAAGGAGAATTCTTCTGGTCATGTCTCCTTATTTGCCGGGTCCGGTCGTTGCTCCCCGGCTGCGTTGTTGGATAATTAGAGTGAATCCGTGACCAGTTTGTCCAAGGAGGTTATCTGCACCGAGATAAATAGGGGAGAGGGTGCATTATCTACATGCAGTGCGACATGTCGAAAACTTAAAGAAAAAGTTACAAAGCATGAATAACACCATGCGACAGAAAGATGATTACCGTTCAGGAATGAGACTAAAATAAAGGTCTAATCTAAGTTTGAAAGCAGATTTTGTGGGGACATTCACTAACTCTTGGGGGAGACTATTCCATAGAAGAATTACCCTATGGATGAAGAAACAGTGTCGAACTAGTGTACGGGCGAGCGGTTTGAACAGTTTCATGCTATGCCCATGAAGATTATACATACTAGTGTGCTAGAAGAAGTCGTCCGACTTGAAGAGAAGGTACAGTAGAAAAATGTCAGTGTCTATTCAACGAGATTCAAGGGGGTACAGATTCAGAAGAGAAAGAGGTTTATAGTGAGGGGTGGATGACAGTCCATGTACGAGCTTTTTTGCTTTAAGCTGTACACGCTCTAGGGCCTTACAGGCATTCATCAATCGGGATTGAGTAATTTAACTTCCGCATTCTAATAATGGCTTGATCTATGTGTTGTAGAGAACATGAAAGGCATCTCTATTTATTCCGGAGACAGAGCGTTTTATCAAATTTACGACACAGAAGGTTATGGAAGAACGAGAGTGACGTGGTCAGTCAGAAACCAAGGACTTTGTAATGTTCTGCACTCTTTATGGTTGAGAAAGCGCTAGCCCTGAAATTTTGCACACGGACCGTCTCAATCGACAGACTGGAGCATTTTTCGTCGTTTATTGAAAGTTTTCAATCTGTTGATCAGTCTTTGACCGCATCCATTGCTGATTGAACAGCCATTGGGTTGGTGCCCCAGATGGTCACATCGTCAGCGTACATTGAGACATTGACTCCGATCCTACGTGGCAGGTAATTAATGTATATAAGGAAGAGAAGAGGGCAAAGAACGGAGTCTTGAGGACCTCCAGTAGAAATGAAAGAAGCAGATGAAGGCGATGAACTAACACGGTCTGATAAGGTGTGCTGTAGTAAACGACAACTAAACGGTTTAAGTTTTAGTCCAAACTCCCTAAGTCGATCAAGCACTTCGGCTGAGTTCGGCGACCAATGGATTACCTACGGAGGTCCCTTTGAGATAGCGTCGATAAGATTGGCTAGAGTAGCAAACTCGGTGGAGAGTAGGGAGCTTAGGCCAGAACTGGTGCTTTCCTGAATTTACCTTTGATCGAGGTTGCTGGAGAAGGATTTTGCCGAATGATGTATTGTTTGATATGCTAAAATCCTTCCTAAGCTCAAGATTGATCTATATTTCCACCCCAATTGATAATTTTCATATTCGGTTCATTCGAAACTCCTCGCCTTGCAAAAATTGAGAAAGTGATATATTGACACTGGTATGTTCACTGGCGTGGACTATTCCTTTGTGATTTCATTGAAAGGTGGCGGCATAAAGCACATTTAGAGATGGGATGCTATCTTACGACCTGTGGAAGCGTTCCGGTATTATCTTCCCATGGTTCTTGATGACCTGTTAGGTATCAGGAACAACACCCAGTTGGTCAAAGGAAAATATAATGTTCCCTTAAAAGTACCGGAAGTTTGGTCTGACTACGCCCGAGAGTTTAGAGACGGAGGATGCTCTATCACGACCTGCAACAGCGATCCGATCTCTAGTCTCCCGTGTTTCTCGATAGCCCGGTTAGTCGAGGGAAAGTATGTTGTTCCCTGAATGTACCGGAAGTTTAGCCCGACTACGCTCGACAGTATCTGAAAGTGAAATGCTCAACAAGCGAAGGTGTAGCACTAAACTCACGCACCGTTTAAAGTGAAGTTACTTCATCGGAGGTGGTCGTGACTTAAACAAAGATGAAAGACCTAGCTGAAGAAGCAGCCTCAAGATATCGATGATCCTGACGGAATCCATGCTAGAAAGGAAAATAATGCACGAGCAAATGCTCCAATCAACTAATGCCTGCAACCATGCGAAAACATGCATGCGGATCAGGCAGACTAAAGATGGTGACAGCTCTCGAGCATGTTACAATGTTGGTCTGAAGCCATCACAGGTCTGTGATAAGGGTCTGGTTATGGCATGTATGTGATTTGCGTCCATATTCACGACTGTGCACTCCAGATCGCAGTTCATTGTACCCGGAAGTGGAAACATTTTCACTGAAAATTTGTAAATCACTCTACAGTTTATTCGTTCTTGTAATATACCATGAGAATTGCGGATACATCCATTGCTGCTGCTGCTTTTGCTGCTGCTGCTGCTGCTGCTGCTGCTACTGCTGCTGCTGCTGCTGCTGCTGCTGCTGCTATTCAAACCCAGGACCGCACAGGCACAACGCTAGCTCACCCGAACAGCGTACTATGAATCAGGTTGAGCTGCTCTACTTGGATTGGAGACATACCACTGTTCTCATGTAAAAGCTTGTTAAGAAACATTATTTCTCTATCGCTCTTAGAGTTAGCCCCCATGGGTATAAAGAAAATTGTGAATATCAGTTTTATGAATCGCGTTTCTCATCCGTCTTGGAACAATTACTCAGTTTGAGGCATTCCAAGAATGACTACTATAAAGATTTGAGTAGCAAAAAACGCTATGCTACTTTATAACGGAATCATCTATTCATAGATTGAAGTAACTGGTTGAGGTTTTCGAACACATTTTCCTCAGGTTGTTCTAACTGGGTACATAAGTAAAGCAGAGTGAAAATAGTTTTAATATCTTTAAATGGTATTCGCTGTTTTTACACGTTTGGAATACGGGGTTATCGAAGTGTCTGAAGGGAAAATACGATCGGATTCTGGGGGACAAAACTTCCCCTGCTTGGTCACTTGGTCATAAGGGGAGGAGGGAAGCTAATGTCTCGCAAAGATCGGAATTGGTATTGTCGGAAACAAGCTTATGTGTGGTGGCGGTGGTGGTGGTGTGTGGTGGTGAGTGTTTATATTTCGCAGGCGGACAAGGTGATAGGGAGACAGATTCAATCGGCAATACAAAGTCGTATCTTCAAAGTAATGCATCTATGCAGTAGTTCAATATTCTAAGACAGAACAGGAAGTATGCAGCTTGCAACCAGTCGTGATGAACTTCCCAACGGATCCCGCAGCTCGAACACAACCTATTGAGTTACTCAGGCACAGCTGATGTACCGGCACGAGTTAACGCGTACTTGCATAAGAGCACGACCGTGCGGAAGCCAATCTGTGAGGTAACGTGAAACGAAGTTATTGCGGAAAAAAATGTAGTTTGCGTAAAACAAATGTTATCATATGTCTGTTATTAAAGTCAATGTCAACGTGCAGATAGATTGTGCAGAAAAAGTGGTGTCTTGCAATTGGCAAATATTGTCCTGATTTCTCTGTACAATCGGCCACAGAATACAGCTCTTCCAAGGGAAAACTTCGTAACTGACTGGTGACGACCAATTTAAATCTTGTAACTCCCTCTCCTCCCCACCACACACACATAGAATAGTTATTGAAAATAAAAAAGAACGAAAAGTCAAACAATTTCGAATCTCTAGAATGGAGCAAAACTACCCGAGGGATTGCAACTCTTAGGCAGTCCGGAACGGTGCTCTGACGAGGGCTTGAGAGTCTCAGAATCCAGGAGCAAGCTTTGGCCGGAAGCTGAATTATCTGGTGAGTGGGTCTGTGTGTATGTGTCCGCAGGTATGTACTTGATAGACAACAGATCGGTATTCAGTGAGGAATGAGTATCGCTCGACATCAGTCACGGTGGTGAACTATTGAGCAGTCGATCGTAGCTGTCCAAACCAAGAATGAGACAGATCGGTTGAGTTGTCTCTCTCTCTGTCCATTGTTAATAAAAACGGAATACGGAGGCAAATTTGAAGATATTTTAGTCAACAATATCCATAGAGAAATTCTTCAGTTATGTTATTCGTAAGTAGACTAATAACAAGTATGAGGAAACTTAATAGACTGGGAGAAAAATTACGTCCGGTCGATCACAAACAGTTTCTCTGGTGAAGTTCTGCCACATGTTTGAGGACGAATTGAGAACGACTTACAGCAAACCACGCAATTTTATTGTATTGTTTTTGCTCGTTTAAGTAATATACTCACTTCTCAGCACCGGTAACACATACGCTACATACATGCGCAGTGAAGCGGTCTGTTGTTGAGGATTGACAGCTGTCCACAACCAGCGTCGCACATTCAAACTAATCATATTGAAGGTCGCTTCACTAATGCACGCACACACACACACACACACACACACACACACACACACAGAAGTTCCATTCCGATACTCGTTGAATCGCCAAAAATGGGCACTCCACTATTGTCAACAAGCTTCCCACACATTGCATTCACCTTCTGTGAGCAAATAAAGAGGGTCAATTAGTTGTTCCAGTTTGATCTGTTTATCACAAGTTTCTGTCATTCCCATGGATCTTGGTGATGAGATAACATTGATGATTGGTACAGCTCTAAACAAAACCTCGGTGTCTTACAATATTCAAGGCTAAAATAAACGGCCCAATGTTGTGCACTAATAAATCCACTAATCCTTGTACCTGTTTCCGGCTAGGGGGCACAAGTGTCAATAGACATGCGAACGCTCACTCACTCGGTACCTCAGGTTCCACTTGCGGCTTGCTTTGCTGCGTAACAATTAGGCAAGGCAAATCTCATTTGCAACTCGGTGAGTTGGTTGATTCGAGACAAGAACAAGCCCCGAAGAATCATTGCGACAATACTGTATTGAGTAAACTGAAGCAAGCCTTTCCCGAGATTAATTTCAAAAGAAAAGAACGTATTGCAATACTGAAGGATTTATGTCCAGGATGATTTCGCTGCATCTCAATATAGTTCATACTGTAGAAAATACAATGTTTATATAAGGCTTTAGCATGGTAACCAAGTAAAGCAAAATACATTAAAACAGACAAAACATAAACAAGGGGAAGGGGTAAAAGGACCATGTCACCAGGTTAGGAATAGAATAACATAAAGTTATTTTTGCTGACAGGGAGGGACTGCATTGATTAATACCAATCGTTTCAACAAACCTTAGCAATCTTGCGACTCGTGACTTGCAGACAATCCGAAACGCTGTGCTTCGGTCGATCAAGCGTTGCGTCATCAGCAGTGTCAAGCAATGGCTGAGGACGGGGTCTTGTAGTTTCGACAGTCGTTTCTATGCAGCGAACTTGACCTCCATTCGGTCATCTGATTTTGGACCCAATTTGGAATATGTTCCACCACCCGATTCCCTAATGATCGCTCTGTTCTGCTCACGTAAGTCGCTCTACAACCAAATTGGAATTGGTAGATTAGATTAAAGTTGGCGTACGGAGGCAGACGTTCTTTTGCCGGGTTCGTGAGTATCCTGGTTGTCCGGTAGACAATTTTGGGGTCGACTGCATAGTAGGTTTGAGCGATTGCTGACCTCAGTTGTTTGTTGAGCAGGTGGCTTACGTTATCACCTTTGAATTGAAGGTACAATATGAACCGCAATTTCGGAATTAACGCAATCGGTTCTTTCGCAATTCTCGGTTTGCTATGCTTATTAACAAACGCTTTGTGGTAAGCTTTTTGGCAAACAACTCTCGCTGAAGATTAATCCTCCGGGTGCATAAAGCTTACTTTGACTTGACTTGCCTTGACTTGAAAGGTTTTGCAATTCTTGTTCAAATCTGTCTTCCTTGTAGATTTGCCTTGTTCTGTCAAATAAGGCCCGAACAAGACCACATTTATACTCCAGGGGAATAAAGCTCTCGAAGTGTAAATATTGGCCTATCTAGGTTTCCTTTCGATAAACGGATCGATCAATTGTTCCATCTTCTCTTCTGGCCACGCTACTGTCAAGGAAATGGAGTGTGTTGTTGGAGTGTTGTGGGCTTAGATGTATCTAGCTCAGCCAACTCGACGACAGGGTCGATTTCCAGTGGGTCTTTTTATGATGAGCAGTATACGAATGACTGGATACATCTTACCCCCAACACTCAATACAGAATCGTGGCAATGATTCTTCGAGACTTGTTAGTCTCGAATCCACTTCCCTGACTGTAAATGAGATTTGTGCAGCCTAATTCCTATCAGGAATGCAGGTATAAGAAAAGATTGCCGGATACAAATACCTGAAGAGCGGCTGGGACCGAGAAACCGGGCGTGTGAATATGAGGATTTTTGTCCAGTGTAGTCGCAATAAGGGGGCAGACATCTTGATGTAAACTAATTTCTCTGTATTTTCATCCTCTTCCCAGAGACACTGAAGAAGAACAAAGCCAACGCAAGACGGAACCACGAAGAAACGAGACACCAAATGCCCAGACAGACTAACTCGTTTCTGATTGGTTAATATCCTCCCTAACCCCTGTTGCTTGTATGGATATGAATTGATGCCAAGGTTGTGCCGACTCTTCCGGTTCTCGAATATACATTTTCTCTGCTTCCGGTGTCGTTTTTGCTGTGCGTATGTGTGCGTGAAAGAGGAGTGTGCAGGGGAAACTTTGCTAACGGTGCATCTAGCATTATATTTCAGAGTCTGCTGCTCACTACACCAGTCATTCATATGCACCTCATTAGTAATAAACCATCGTTGGAGTACTTTTCTGTATTCTATCCCAGTAGCTATTTTAATTTGACCTTGTTTATCGAGAATCTGTGAGAATTGAAATAGTAATCGAACTCGGATAAGGTTTGTTTGAGATTCGGACTGAAAATCTATCGAAACGGGTGCGGGGGGTGCAACCCAGGCAAGTTGTGGATACAGTTCATTCTGATAGGTAACTCATGGAAATAACAATCCCGAGTCAAAATCAATGACCCCTTCATTCCTAGTTGTTCAATCCTGGTTGACAAATGGCCTAAATATTTGTCTTGCAGCCATTATTCCTTGAATGCATGTGTCCGAGGACACTGACTTGATTGGAATCTTCCTTTTGTGGTGTGCTGCATCGACTTTAAGATAGTTTGAATGATATTTGAAGTTGATCTTCGACTCACTCCGTTTGATATTTTTGCAAAATGCCAACTATTTTTGCGGCGGCTCAATAGCAAGCGAATGTTGGAAATGGCTAAAGAGGGAAGTATGCAAAGGAAAATAAGTGGAGACAGAAAAAGTTGATACTCACAGTATCGCAATGAGTGTCCAAAGTGAGAAACGGTGTCAATCACATATGCAATTGCGGGCCCAGTGTGTCCGTCACGTTGCTGAACCAACCTTTCGGAAGAAGGACACCAGCTATGGGAAGTTGGACGGATAAGTGGTGTTCTGTATGTTAGCTATCACATTCATTAGTCCACGCGGGCGTCAAGACGACACCGGTAGAGAGAGAAGACCCGACGATAACCAAGCGATTAGGGTGAAATGTGTCCTTGATTGTGATGTACAGA